GATCCCCACAGATACAATCACTGTCACAAGCATGTCATCAAATTAAGATCTATGTGATGAGTGTTTTGTCTGCACGTGCGTGTGCTCCACATGCGCATTCACTGCCTATGGAGACGAGGAAAAGGCACTGGATCCTGTGGAACTGGCGTTACAGATGGCTGGTAGCTGACGTGTGGGTGCTGGGAACTGAACCCAGGTCCTCTGTAAGAGCAGCCCATGCTGTTAGCCGCTGAGCCATCCCTCCAGCCCTTATTTTTATATATAGTATGTTTTTCAATTCAAACTGCATTTCATGGGACTTGTGCTTAGATTCGTTCCTGATCTGCTTTTTCCCCTTCTCGGTTCTCTTTGGCTGGGGACGTGCTGGCTCTTGTTTCTGCAGGCACAGTGAGAACATTTGTTATGGTTCCTGATCTGAAGTCTCTGGGTGCACTGCGGTGTCACCGTCGCCACCCCCTTTGCCTCCTGGGGTGTCCCTTTGTTCTTCATTTCTGGGAGTGGATCTGTGAGGTGCAGGAAGAAGCCGCCGCCTTCCTCTCGAGGACTTGTTTCTTCTCTACTGGGTGCCCAGGACAGCAGTGGTTTGGGGCCTACTGAATCACCCAGGTTCTTTTCCTGGTGCGGTGTGCCCCGCACCAAGGGAACACTCCTTGCAATCCGCTTGGGGTAGAAAGTAGTGTGCATTTATATCTAAACAGTCCTTAACCTGACACCCTCTTTTGAGAGCCAGCTTTATTGAACAGAGGTTAGGAAGAGCGTGTCATCCCATTAAACTAGGCCAGTTGGCTTCTACCCAAAGGTCCTGACTTTTGAATTCTGGATTCCTCACTGTGGAAGGGAGTCACAGCAGGACTCAGGTTTCCACAACCTGCCACGGGCCTATAGTCTCCCTACCCTCCTTTCCTCTCAAAGCTTCATCTTGCACATAGATTTTGGTTTGATATCTTACAGCTGTAAGATCTGACTCTTAAAATATTTTATTTTTATGAGTATATTGCTTGCATGTACGTAGATGCACCCGTGTCATGCAATGCCCATGGATATAAGAAGAGGGTGTCAAATCCCCTGGAACTGGAGTTATGGGCAGTTATTAGCTGCCATGTGAGCGTAGAGACTCAAACCTGGGTCCTTTGCAAAAGCAGCCAGTGCTCTTAACTGCTGAGCCATCTCTCCAGCCCCCAAGATCTGACTCTTACGAAAAATTGCAAGTATTCCTCTTATCTAATGATTGCAGTTGTTTTTAGAGAAAGGGAGGTTTTTGGCGACCAGGCCTGCTATGGTTCGGGCTGTGGAGGAGCCTCCTGTAATCAGCTCTGTGCCCTGGGTGCTGTGGTTGGTAACAGTTGTTTCTAGGGTCATAATGTCCACAATCTAAGCTAGAGACTGGATGACTGGGTACAGTGAGGGGTTTTTCTGCTGCCCTGGGTCCTGTGTGGCAGCTCTGACGTTCTGTGGCAATGGCTTCCAATCTTCCCACACGGGCCTCTCTGTAGCCACTGTAGAGGGTATGCAAGCTGATAACAGCAGAGAATTCCTTGGGATGACGGTCCAGGAAGCAGGCTGACCACTTCATTTTGGAATGTTTGTTTTCAAGGACCTGAGCTGTATTGCTACAACACAGGCAGAAAGAGGCTGGGACCCCAGTGGGTGTTCTCTGCAGAACCCGGGGGACGAGGGGTGATGTTTGAATTTGGTTTAAAACCCAGATAGATCTAAAGAAAATGTATCAAGTGTAAGCCAGCTGGAGTCCTCTAGCTCCCTGCAGAGGAGGCTGGGCTTCTCTGGAAAACCCAGGCTCCAGTTTTACAAAGACAGCAAGACAAGAGCACAGCAAGACAGAGCCTGAAAACGTACCTTCTACCCAGGCCAAAGCCAGGCAGGCAGCTGGGGTTTCTTGCCCCATGTTTCAGGGGTTCCAGGTCCCCACATCAGAGGTGAAAAGTGGGAGCTCACCTTCCTGGACCAACCCACTATTCCCTGGCCATTCTGTCTTCATCGGGCCTAACAGGAAGCCAGCATCTGACTCAGGTACCGTCTCTGTGTGTCGTTTGCTCCGTGTTTCCATTTAGAAACACATGGCTGCCCTGGCAATAGGGGACAGAGGAAGACTTTCGCTATGCCCAGGTCTCAAGGACTGGCAGTCAGCACGTGGGGTGCTGGAAGTTTGATCACTGTGGTAAACATAGTATTTGTCCTTAGCAGCTGAAAACCTAACGAGAAAACTTGATTAATAACAGGACAATACACATAAATTGGGAATATCTCAGGCGAGTCACCATGAACAGCCAACCTAAGTATTCTCTAAGATTCCATGATAAATCTGAATATCTTGTGATAGATCCTAACACACACTTCGCTTTTCCTCCAGCACACCAGCGAAAACCAACGTTATCTTTACTGTCCAGACTAGTCAGTCATACTCAGCAGCAAAATTCGTATTGCTTTGTGATGAATCTTTCACTCGCTTTTCCTCCAGCACACCAGCAAAAACCAACGTTATCTTTACTGTCCAGACTACAGTCAGTCATACTCAGCAGCAAAATTCGTATTGCTTTGTGATGAATCTTTCAGACCCTGTCTTTCCATGTTGTGTGTGCTTCCATTTTACATTGCACATGGCTGACTCGCTCGTCGTTCTGTTCTGTGATGAGAAACGGAAGTTCATTTGTGGTCCTTCTTCACTGCCCTGAGCTTGCTGGGTCAGGGTGCTCTGAGAGAGTGACATCACTGTCAGTCACAGCTGTAACTCAATAGCAGCTGCTAAGTCTCACTGGCTGGTGACTGCATGTCAGGCTCTGTGTGAAGAGGCTAAGTGGGTCGGGCCTGACTGGGTGCACAGGCTGTGCTCTCAGGCACACGATGAGCTCTTTATTCCTGCCTCAGGCATCTGCTGTCTTCCTGCCTCAGGCATCTGCTGTCTGTGTCCTTTGATGAGAGCTGACGTGGACGGGCCACCTATATCCTGCCCTCTCTTCAGTGGCTCCTTCCATGCCCAGTGGCATATTTCCCACACACCTGTGCTTTACAGATTTCTATAGTGACTCCTTCGCTTTGCAGAAAGATGTTTGATGGAGATTCTGTTTTATCTGTGAAGCTGCACTCTCTGTGGATGGGGAGATGTGATTTTAGTATAAGGACTGTAAAAGTCGAACAGAAGTAATGTTTGGGTCTTCCTGGATATGTGGGACAAGTCCTCGGACAGCACCCCTTTTTGTTCTGTTTTCGAGATGGGGTCATGCTGTTACCTCAGGCAGTCCTTAGTCACCTAAGTAGCTGGGACCACAAATGTGCCCCTCCCCAGCTGTGGACAATGGTACATCAGATCACTTAATTATCAGGACAGTCTGTCCCCCATTCTATTACCACCAAAGCTTAGAACACAGTGTCATAATGACCAGACATACCCTTTCCCAGGTAAAGAGCGAGCTTTGGTTTCTCCTGTTTCCATTAATTGTCTATGTGGTGGGAACTTTTAAAAATGTTTATTGATTTTTGAGAGTTTCTCACACAATGTATTTCAGTAACACTCAGACCTCCACCCCACTTTGTGTCCTCCATTTTTAAAAGTCCATTGATTCCAGTTTGTGTACCTGCATCCTTAAGTGTGGGTCCATGCTGATGTGTGGTACATCACACCATCAAAGAAAACTGACTCTCCCAGCAGCTATCAATTGCCTCCAGATCCCCAGCTGGGCTGCGGCTTCCTGTCTACATCCCCCTCCGTGCTGGGATTTTGGCTGGCTTAGACTTGGGCAGATCTTTTCTATGCTGCGACTACTGCTGTGGGTTCATATGTGCAAATGCTCTATTGTGTCAGGAAAACCTGGTTTCCTTGTATTCATCCACCACCTCTGGTTCTCACAATCTCCCCACCCCCTCTTCTGCAATGATCCCAGACCTTGGGAGGAGAGGGTGTGATATGGGTGCTCCATGATGGCTGAGCGGTCTCACTCACTGGATGTTGCCCACCATCTATTGTAAGACGTGTCTCTGGTGAGAGCTGAGACGGGCACTCACCTATGGGTGTAACAGTAAGTCATTAGAGTCAGTTTAATGGTGTGTCTATTTAGCAAAATAATAGTAGCAGGTTCTCCCCTAGAGCCTACAACATGTCCACCAGCAGGTTCTTTGCAATGATGATGGGTATAGGCTCCATTTGTGAAGGGGGCCTTAAATGCTGAAGAACTTCCTGGGCAGTTTTGTGTATGAGTGAATTGCCTACATGTATGTAAGTGCACCCGTGTCATGCAGTGCCCAAGGAGGTTAGAAGAGGGTATTGGATCCCCTGGAACTGGAGTTATGGACGGTTGTTAGGCACCATGTGGATACTGGAAATGAATTCAGGTCCTCTGGAAAAACATCCAGTGCTCTTAACGGCTGAGCCATCATCGCAGCCCTGAGATCAGACCTGTTTTCCCCCATTTCCAGAAAGGCCCACTTGTACAACTTTCAGAGCCGTGGTCTGTGGATATAACCCAGTGAGAGCTAACCCCCAAGTTCCTGCCCGCCTTCTGGCCTGTGATACATGTCCCCGTAGGCCTCAAATAGAACTTGACTTGTCCCACAGGCCCCAGTGTGGATCCTTCGAACAAACTAGTGCATGCGTTTGGGAGGAAGAGCTGCACAGCACTGTACAGAGCAGCGTCTCTGTGGGGACAGGCAAAGGGCAGTCGTCCTCTGGGCCGTGCATCTAATTGAACCATTCCAGACCTCTGTAAACTAAAAATCACCTGACAGCACCACAAATTTTAATCCATCCCCTGGGGCACTGGTAGAGAACACCCCCTAAGACACACATTTGAGTGTACCTATATGAGCCTATGGACATGTCTTTTGTTACAGAAAATTTCACAAGGCAGCTAGCAAAGGGCCTGTCTTGTACAGTGAGAGGATGATGCTCAGGAAGTGAAATCAGGGCTCTGCAGCAACTCACTGCTTTCCTGAACACAGCTTCTGGTCCCTGGGCTGAGGGGTTACATGTGATCTCTTATCTCTTGCAGGGGTCCCACAAGCCCAGCCCTCCTCAGAAGCCTCTGCCTGCTGATCCCTTGAACAGGACTTCACGGCTCTCCAGTGCCTTGGCGAGGACCCCTGGGCAGCAGGAGCCTGGGCTTCACCCAGCCCCTATCAGGTGGGTCTCCTCCTAAGGTATAGGACAGCTGAACGAATCACAATGTCATGCAGGCATCAGAGGCTAGGCCCTGCTTCCTGCCCACCCTCCAATTTGAGGAGGACAGGACAGAGGTGTAAAAATTACTAGGAAGCAATCCACACAAGCTATAGTCATGATCACCACTTCAGAGTTCTTAGCACAGGCCCACATCACCCAAGAGATCCTAACAAGATGAGGTAGGCCTAACACAGAACAGTGACCCAGGAAAGCTGGGCTCCTACAGACACAAAGAAGAAAGATGGGCTGGACCTTAGCCGCCTGCTATGTCCTTTGTGGTCACTTCCACCAGGGAAGAGGCACTGCTTATGTGGGGGCTGAGGACGAACCCCAGCTGTGCTGACACAGGCTCATGCTGTCAGTGAAGACTATCAAATGGAAGAACTTTGCAACCTAGCCAACATTAAAGATCAAGTTATGTAAACTTTCTACAATACAAGCTCCACTTAACGCTCAGGACATCTCTCCTAGACTAGAGTTCCATTTTGCTACTGAGGTTGCAGGGGTTCTCTCTCTCTCTCTGATGGAATCAGATAGCTTGCTGGTTTTTCTCAGAGATTGGAACATTGACAACATGAATATCAGCTCTCTTCCCTCAGTGGGATTTTTGCCTTGTTTTTCTCAGTCCTGGGGCTGGAACTGAAGCCCTTGACCATGCTAGGCAAGTGCTATATATCCCTACCCTTGGGTCACCTCATGTAGCCCAGGCTGGCCTCAAAATCTAAATCCTGAGGTTATAGATATGGGCCACCATGCCTGGTCAGCAGATTGTTATAGCCCCCAGACCCTTCTGACTCACCTGTTCCTTAGCAGGCTGCATGGCTCTTTGAGCTCCTAAGAACCAGTGGTGAGGCCCTGTGCTCAGTAACTCACAGCTCTTCAGGGAAAGGCACACTTCACTGATTCATTACAGCTCTTGGGAAGAATGTTTGGCCTAGGAAAGAAATGGCTGTCTAATAAATTTCTGAGATAAAGCTGGTCAAAGGGTCAAGGGAATGATTTAGTTCCCAACTTTGGGAATATAGAAAAATTGCATAGTATCCTACTTATCTCACTGTGGTTTGGGCACTGAGCTTGAAGCAATGTTTCTTATTCTGTTAGATAAAAACAGTACTTTACA